TCAGTAGAACCTACATGCTACGTGACACACTGGCCAACAAGCCAGTCTTCCAGACTCTGAACAAAGCCCAGATGCTTCTCTGGGGAAAGTGTTCAGGATTTCTAGGCACATATACAAGCTTCTTTCATACCACCAGTCTCCTTGTCCCCTTCCAGCTGAGCGCCCGCCCCTGCCAAGCTGGTTTGAAGACACACCACCTTGGCCACTTTCCGATGCAGCATGTAGGGGAAACCCAGGTGCGAGTACCGAATTAGTTCTCAGCTCAAGCTTCAGTGCCTTTACCACCCTTAACCCCAACGGTATACTTCTAGATACAAATACTTCAACAAGAAGGATTTTTTCCCCCCAAGTCCCATCTGTTGTTTATTTCTGAATTACTCCAAGGGCCAATGAGGCAGCATAAGGAATTCCCTAGGAAAACCAAAGCTGCCTATGGGATTATGGGGAAATAAGCAAGACTCACACTGAGAACATTCAGACAGACACGTCTAAGTTATGTGTGGACCCAAAGTGGGGGAAATATTTTTGGCGTAAGGGTGGTGTTCCATCTCCACTCACCTTTCAATCCCTTCTTGGTTTTTGGTGCCTAAAATGGGAAAAACAAATCACGTTAACAAGATGACACAGTGAACGTGTACTGAAACCAACAATGCAGAATGAACTGCTTTGCCTTTTGCCAAGTCACCAGAGGAAAAGGCGCACCAATGGCATTTATAGACAGAGGCCCTTTATGGTTTTCTGAGTTTTTGAGAATAGACTCATTCAGAGCATGAAAAGGGCCCCCACTAACCAGCAGTGGACACCACTCTGGGTGCCATCCGGTGGGCAGAAGTCTCTCTTTTTCCCTCAGATTTCCAGACGCCACACGCAAACCCTCCCAGCCAGCCAGGATGTAAAGTTTTCATGTAAGGATGCTTTCAGATGAACATTCAGAGGCTCAAAAAAGATGCTTGCTTACTGTTTAATAAGAAGTTTTTTTTTCCCCTCTGGCCGAGTCACATGACACGCAGGATCTTAGTTCCCTGGACCAGGGATCAAACCCACGCCCCTGCATTGGAAGCGTGGAGTCTTAACCACTGGACCGCCAGGGAAGTCCCATTAATAAGTTTGCTATCAATGCTCCTAACCATCACTCTTCTTTGGGCCCACCCAGCCCCCAAAGTACTTCATGCAGTTAAGATCTTGGAGGTGGGAGTAGGGGTGAGCACAGGCTCCCATTTCCACACACCTACTCTGCATTCTGCCTACCATCTCAAGGCTCTGGGGGCTGTCTGCAGCTCCTTCACAGTGCTGTCCAGCTCATTTGAATTCCGCCCATCAGGCTCATCCTCCCTAGTGAAGAAAATTAAAGTGGCTGCTTAAAAATTATTTGGATTTAACAGTGGTTGAGTCCAAGGTTGATCAAGCCTTCTCTCACTTTACCCATTCAAGAGATCAAAACATTTCCATCAATTAAAAATTCCTTGTAGGGCTTCCCTGGTGGTGCAGTGGTTAAGAATCCACCTGCCAATGCAAGGGACACGGGTTCGAGCCCTGGTCCGGGAAAATCCCACATGCCGTGGGGCAACTAAGCCTGTGAGCCACAACTACTGAGCCTGCGCTCTAGAACCTCCGAGCCACAACTACTGAGCCCGCGTGCCACAACTACTGAAGCCCATGCACCTAGAGCCCGTGCTCCACAAGAAAAGCCACCGCAATGAGAAGCCCGCGCACCGCAAAGAAGAGTAGCCCCCGCTCGCCGCAACTAGAGAAAGCCCGCATGCAGCAACGAAGACCCAACGCAGACAAAAATAAATTAAAAAATTCCTTGTAGGGTGAGCAATTCAGATGAGAAGCGAAGTGTTCTGGGTAACTCTTCTCTTTTCTTCTCTTCTTTTCAATATTTATTTATTTATCTGGCTGCACCGGGTCTTAGTTGCAGCACGTGGGAACTCTTAGTTGCGGTATGTGGGATCTAGTTCCCTGACCAGGGATCGAACCCAGGCCCCCTGCATCGGAAGCGCAGAGCCTTAGCCTCTGGACCACCAGGGAAGTCCCTTTGGTAACTTTTTGAGGCCTGGAGATTATTCGAAAAAAGTGCAGTGGTCCTCATCCCTTACTCTGAAAGAGAATGCGGAAAATGGCAGGTACCCATCTCAGGAGGGAGGTGGGTGCCTAGCACTAAGGCCAATACACCTTCCCAGGCAACACCCTGACTACTTTCCTGGCAGCGTTCAGAGCAAAGAGCGGCTGCAAATGCTGGTTACTCCTTGATAGTATTTTCACTGTCGGTGGAAAAACTTCCCTTCACACTAACTGTAAATCCGACTCACTCCATTAATAGAGAACTGTTTTCCCCAGAATTATCATTCTCTCCCACCTCCTCCTCAACGTTGCCAAAACTGACCTTTGGCACAGCTTGGAAGAAAGGAGTGGGAGGTGGGCCTCTCTAGTTCTCTGGTGTCGGCCTGTCCTGTTATTAGAATGCAAAGTTTATGTGAGGTTACTGTATAGGGGCCACTCTGAATGGTTGTGTTTCTCTTTCTCTGTAATGCAATGTTCACGGCCTACAAGTCTCAACACGTTTTGTCTCTTATCACATCCAGGGGCGTCTGCCATCTCCTAGCGATCCTCTCCCAGCCTCCCAGACCGTGGGAATTTCTAAGGGAGCATTGCAAAGGCCTCAGGGCCACAAAGACCATCGCGTCATTGCATCTGCTCAGCCAACTTCCTGCCAGGCGTTTTAAGATCCCGAGGCCGCCCCTTAGTTAGCGCCCTCCCGGAATCACCCCCTCGGTCTCGAGACTCCCCGCCCCTCCATGCGCCACCCCCTCCGCGCGCCCAGCCCGTCTCGATCCCGAGCGCAACCTACGATCCTTCCAGCCCCTGAATCCCCCCCGTTACGCGCCATTCCCCTTGGAGGCGCAGCCGCTTGGACGTGTCCCAGACATATCCGCTGCTCCAGGCTCCACTCGAGCCCAGCTCAATCAGGCCTCCCGCTTCGGAGCCTCTAGATCGCCAATCTCTCAGTCGCCCGGCCTCCGGAAGCAAGGCAAGGCGCGAAGCGTTCTGGGGGTTGTAGTCCTAGGCCCGCTCACCTGCCGGAGCCAAGGGAACCTGGGGCACCGAGATGAACTACATTTCCCAGGGTGGCTCGCCGCGGCCGTTAGTTGGCGCCCGGCCTGTTGTTTGCGGCTTGACACGTTGCTAGGAGCTGCCTGAACGCTCCTTTGCGAAGCGGTCGCTACCGGGATCCAAGGCCGGTGAGCTTCTTCCTCCCGGTTTCCCTGGGGAACTGCCGGGGGCCTGGGCTCCACGACCGAACACTTCCAGGGACTTCCCTGGGGGTCCAGTGGTTAGGACTCTGCGCTTCCACTGCAGGGGGCATGGGTTCGATCCCTGGTCGGGGAACTAGCATCCCCCCTTGCGCACGGAAATCAATTTTTTCCAGCTCTCTTCTGAGCGCTGACTTGCGGAGAGGTGGAGGGCGTGAGAAATGTGTCAAGAGTAGAAGACGGACGTGGTGAAACTATAAATATGCATTTATTCCACACCCCAAAGCTTAGGAAAGTAGCTGTGACTTTCCTGTTCAATTATGAAAATCAAAGCTGGGAAGCCAGAATGAAACCCAACACCATCACCTAATAAAGACACTTTTTGTGTTGATTACAGATTTTATTAAGGGTTTTTCAGTTTTACAAAAGGAGAGGTTAGTGGTTTGGCTTATTCGCAGGCCCAGCAAAGCTGGTGGGTCACTGCTGTCCAACCATGATTCTCACGCTTTGGACCCCCCGCGCCTCCTTGGTACCCCCACCCTCACTGACACGTCCTGCCAGGGATGGGTAACAATACATGCTAAATGCATCTCGTCAGCTAGGAACCAAACTCAAACCACAAGAGTTAAAGGGGAAAAGGTAGCAAAGTAATTTACACATTCCAAAAGATACAAGTCATTTCCTCGAATCCACAGCAATTGGAAATAAAATGGTGTTTACAAAGTAGCAATCATCAGTTGGAATATTATGCGTAAGATCACATATTTGTTACCTAATCTGTGAAACAGTTGACAGTAATGTGGCAGAACAAGTTACTTTGGTTCAGAATTCTTTTTATAAATTAAAAAATTTATTATTTTTTAGTAATTTTTGGCTGTATTGGGTCTTTGTTGCTGCGCGCCGTCGTTCACTAGTTGCGGCAAGCAGGGGCTACTCTTCGTTGCGGTGCGTGGGCTTCTCATTGTGGTGGCTTCTGTTGTTGCGGAGCATGGGCTCTAGGTGTGCGGCCTTCAGCAGTTGTGGCTCGCGGGCTCTACAGCGCAGGCTCAGTAGTTGTGGTGCACGGGCTTAGTTGCTCCGCGGCATGTGGTGTCTTCCAGGACCAGGGCTTGAACCCATGTCCCCTGCACTGGCAGGCGAATTCTTAACCACTGTGCCACCAGGGAAGTCCCTGGTTTGGAATTCTTAAAACCCCTCCCAATTATCCGTGATCTTCCAGAGATAATCAGTGGCTCACTTAAATTTAAGGCAAAATCAAAATCAAACAAAAATCCCTTCAAATCTAGGAATTTGCAGGTCTGCAACAGCTAACATCCAGTAACTCTAAAATTTCCTTATGTTTCTAAGTTTACTATCATGGACCACAAAAATAGGTACTGAAAGTTTTAGTTTGGACAACTATAAGCAAAACTCCACCAATATTTTAAAATGAAAATACATTTTCATCATTTACAATGACTTGGTCTAATCCTCCAGGAATGGATCAGTAAATATTCAATTAGCTGAGATGATCTCTTTGTTATTCCATGAAAATGATCAAAACCTTTATCTGAGGAGACTCAAAAAAACTCTTCTCTCAAGCAGAATCATCATTCTCCTGGCACTGGTCCTCTCTCCAGCTGCAGCAGAGCTACTGCTCGAAGAAAAGCTGTAATTCCTTCCACATGTATAAAAAGATTAGTGGGTGTTACAGGCCATCTGCATCTAATCCTCTCCCTTTCTACTAGGATGGATGGAAAAAACTCAGAAAGGGGTAGGAGGAACTTTGACCAACAGTCAATCGTCTAAGGAATTTTTGTTCCCCAGAGGACTCGAGGATGATGAACCTGAATATATTTCCCCGACCATGCCCTGCACTGACGAGAATCCAAGAATTAAGATCTAACATTGGTAACTTTAGGAACTGTTAAACACCTCTAGGTATATGGCATCTGAAATTACAAGCAGTGAGTTCTCAGAAAGTACCTGAATGTGGTTAATGTTGCAATTAAGTGAATGTTCTGAAGATAAGCTGTTACTTAGCAGTACTATGTTCTGAAGACAAGAACGTGAAGGCCCCCAAAGGCTTTGGGGCCAACTGTGCTTTGAGGTCACCAATATCCAAACACTTAAGTACACCTCGGGATCTACTGAGTAGAGCATGAAGTAGAACTCCAAATACGTGAGGAAGTATCAACCTTCATCCATTACAAATAGAAAAAACCTCTATGAAACTTCAAAGGCTTATATAAGTATCATCTAACAGAAAAATCTCATTAATTCTACTGAGATTTATTATCATTTTGGAGATTAGGTTGAAATTTATCTGTACTCTTTGTGAAAACGGCTCATAAAAGAACCCAACAGAACCAAACTTCTCTGTGGCAAAGTCTGGCTTCTAAGGGACAACAGGCTGGGTCTGCTGCTTCCTTACGAGCAGCCAAGAAACCTGTATTCCTGCATGGACAGAGCACTCAGATACGCTGCAATGACAGCATCACGGCCCATTCAGCCTTATCTGCTTAGGCAGTTCTCACCCCTTCCTTTTTTTGTTTAGTGTTACCTACACCTGCATCTTAAAATTCTTCATAATTTAAACTTATGTTTAGTTATGTGGCACGTTCTTTCCATCTTGATAGTAACAAATTAGTGAGGTTTTACGATATCTTTATTCTTTAATTACAGAGGACAAAGTTCAAGACAAAACATTCCAATGTGAATAAAAATACCGTCAATATTAGATTGTTTTTAAATGAAACTCAAGGTGCTGGACTGAAGGTGGCTCTGCAGAGTCACCACCTGTTCCAACCTGCTTAGATCCCAGATCTATGCAGCTGGATTGGGTGGGTGTCATTTCAAACACCTTAGATCCTGACTATGGATATCCCTCTGTGAATAAGATTTTTAACCCCTAATTGGAAACTATTCTACATTTAACAGGTCAATATTAAGGAATTTGAATTTACTCTCTGTTATTTCCCAGAATCTGATCTAGTCAAAGATACACCCAAATGAGATTAACACAGTGCTTTTTCACTTCAGTCTTAACACAATGACCAATCAGTGCTCCTGGTGGAAAGATTACGGCTTGTGTCAACTGACAGTATTTCTTCTGCTGGACCTTATCTCCTATTACCCGTTCCATGGGGATAGATTTTATGGCAGGTCCCAAGACAGGAACTACATTTCCACTGAATTACATACTACATTCTCAAGACTGATGTTAGAACAACTGGTTTCATGAGGCAGATGTCACAAAGAGTTAACAAAAACAAAAAATCAAGTGACTTGTTTTACACTGATTTTAAGAAAAAATTCATTAAGAGATACATGTTTAGCCTTTAAATATAGAATGATTGTATAAATTAGATTTCAGCTGAAAGGACAATTTAGCAAGTCAGAAAAAGCTCCCAGAAACATACTGAAAATAATGCCAGATATACAATAAGAAACGGATTTTCTATGGAACTTCCATTTATCCTTTAGCCACAGTTTCAATGATTATATTTTCTGATCCAAAAATCAGAACACGTGGTTTGTCAAAGGATCTCTCTGTGAGACTCCTGGGTGTAAGAGGCGGCGAGTGGTGCTTTTATTTTTGTGAGGCCAGACACTGTAACCACCGAGCATTTTAACAGCTTGCACCAAAGTGACAGAATAGAGGGAATCTGGATTGTTCCAGGAAAGTTAGTTAATATGGTCACCAAAGTTACAGTAACCATAACTGATAGCTCTTCCTGCCCTTATTCTACTAAGAAGGAAATGTGACTCTCTTTTTCTCCTTTTTTTTGCATCTCTCTCAGGAGAGGGAGAGAGAGGGAGACAGAGAGAGGGAGATCAAGACCACTGATCTGGAGATCCCACCAGTTGCCAGAAGTTATATGTAGAGATAACTTTGCTGTCTACCCCTTCCCAAGAAGTCGGGGTGAAGCGAGTTATACTGCTACGAGAGCAACAATTTAGGGGAACCCTCGAATGGAAGATTAGTTCCTAATCACATGGGGCAGTGATCCTGCAGTAGCCTGTGCTGAAGAAATCCTTGTGTTAGAAAAATGCTACTGTGAACAGGCAGACAGGAACTATACAACAGCAAAGGAGGGCAAACAGGCAGGAAATATGTCAATGTATCAAGCACGCGCGCGCGCGCACACACACACACACACACACACACACACACACACACACACACCAAGTTTCCTGATTAGTTTCTTTCCCCAATCCCTCTTCTTCAGTCCTGCTTTCTAGCCAGCGCCCACGGCAGGAGTGGTAGGACAATTAGCAGGAAAGCTTGGAAGGGTTCTACCCCCACTTAAAAAATACCTTTGCTTAAGAACACTTGCATATCCAGTGATTAGCAATTAAGATGTGAAAATAATTAACTACTTAGTAGTTAAATTCTAGGAATTATCAAAAGGCCTGGCCTCCTGGGATCAGCATTGCAGATGGAGTCACACGGCATTTCTTAAAGCTTTTTCTGAACGCTTAACAGGTCTCTTTCAGTGTTAATTGCACTTGTAAAACACAACTGTTTTTTTCCTTTAATCTCAAATCTGTTCTTTTTTTTTTTTCATTTATAAAAAGAAAAGGGTCAATTTATCATTTGCTCTAGCTTTTCTAAATTTGATACAGATTCCACACGAATTTGTGTGACAGGTATAAGGGGAGTAGAGTACAGTTACTTTCGGGAGATTGAACTTGTCCTCAAGACACTTCAGAGCTTGGACTGCAGTGACTTTAGGTGCTTGTAGTAAGATTCATGGACCTGCAGGGAAGGGAGAGAAAAAATTACTGATACGGAGTTTGCAATTTAAAATAGCATACCTGGACTTCCCTAGTGGCGCACTGGTTAAGAATCCGCCTGCCAATTCAGGGGACACGGGTTCAAGCCCTGGTCTGGAAAGATCCCACGTGTCGCAGAGCAACCAAGCCCATGCACCACAACTACTGAGCCTGCGCTCTAGAGCCTGCGAGCCACAACTACTGAAGCCCGTGTGCCTAGAGCCCGTGCTCCGCAAAAAGAGAAGCCACCGCAGCGAGAAGCCCGCGTACTGCAACGAAGAGGAGACCCTGCTTGCCGCAACTAGAGAAAGCCTGCGCGCAGCAGCAAAGACCCAACACAGCCAAAAATAAATAAATATATTAGTAAAATAAAATAAAATAGCATACTTTTAATCAAGAAATTATCTGAACCTTATTTGGATCCTGATTCAAAAAATCTGAAGTGGGGAGAAAAGAAGAATTGAGCTAACTGGGGAAATCTGGACACTGGCTGGGTAGCCGTTCATGATATTAAAGAATTACTGTTAATTTGTTTAGGTGTGAGAATGGCATTGTGTTTATGTTTTTTAAGAAGAGTCCTTATCTTTTAGAGATACATACTGAAATATCTATGAATAAAATTATCTGATATCTCGGGTTTGCTTCAAAATAATTCTTAGCTGGGAGGTTCAGATGAAATGCAACTGGCCATGAGCAGACAGTTGCTGAAACAGGACAAAGGGTACGGGGGAGATGCACTGGAGTATGCTATTTGTGTATACATTTGAAAATTTTCAATTGTTGCTAAATAGTTGGGGAAAACTAAAAACCTGCACACTGCAGGAAGACCTTGTTCCCTTCAGAACCTGCTGCTCAAATAAAGAGACTGTCCGAAGTGGCCATGAGAGCTTTCAAAGCTTTCACAGATGATCACTCAGAGGCCTTTCCTGCCTTAATATTTAAATGAACAATTTCAAAAGGTGAAAAGACTTTTTTTTTTTTTTACCTCTGTGTTGTTCAGTGGGGATTTCTTGGCCCATTCAAACAAGTTTTCGTACACATTCCCATCATAGCGGCCAAGCACAGAGCCCAGTGTCACATCCTGAAAATCAAATGCATCAACCAGAGCAACAGCGTCAGGGCGAATCACAGTCAGTAACTCCTTTACGCGCTCGTTCACTTGGGTGATTTGAGACTCTGTCATGATGCTCCCCTAAAAGAAACAAGCAAGCAAACAGAGATATTACATAGGTACGTATAAATCTATTCATACGTGTATATATACACATACAACCACGAAGTAAACCACAATTATTTTTCTATAAAAAATTAAGAAATACATTAATAAAAGGACTTAAACTTAGAAAATACCTGAAGAAAATCCCCTGCGTTCCGACTGATTCCATACAGACAATACAAGAGACACAAATTCCTTAAGACGGCTTGGATGGATTTCTCTTGAATTTGGAGGAGTTTTTCTGAAAAGAGCTTAACTGCCACATAGTGGCAATGTGCCTAGAAAAAAAGAAAACACCAGAGTGCAAGAACCTTTGAAAAAGACTCAACAGTGATACAGTTTCTGCACTAAGAAAATGAGGCGGGTGGTGAAGGACGGAGAAGGGGAGGGGGAGAGAGGACCATCGCTGACCTCACTTGCTTGAACGAGGTCAACGGAAGTTAGGTTCCATGCTACCTCCTTGCTTTTTCTGCGAATCACTTCAGTTTGAAGGTTTTTTGCAGCAATTTCTACTAATCTGTTAAAAAAAGAAAAGAACTAGAAAACTGGAGCTCAAGGAAGTGATCGCTAGGACTTGTGCCTCCCGCCTCTCCCATCAAGCCCCTGGCCACAGAGGCCCCTGTGGCCCTGTCCCAGCTCTTGAGGGTGTACTCACCTGGCCGCACGAAGCTTGTACGCTTCTGTCAGGCTGTCAGGGCTGTTGATATCCACCACGGTTGGCCAGACGGCCACCTGCTGTGGCTGGATGTGCTGGCTGGGCAGGTCATTCAAGTAGGACACCATGCCACACACCAACTTGCCTGAGTGCACCTGGTCATAACTTTTCATCAGGAACCTGAAAGTCACCAGGACACATGCTTTCAGCAACTATGCTTCTCGTGAAACAGAAATAAAACGAACTCCTGAAATGACTTTAAGCTGTGGGACAACTGTTTCATACTAGCCTGACCCCAAGAAAAAACCGTGGGTCAGGATGGAAGGCAAAAATGACATCTTTCTGGAACAAATATAATGAGAAGAGAAAACATGGGAATAAGAACCAATGGAAAGGACTCAAACACTCTTGAGAACACATATGAGAAATCATGAATTAGATTCTCACCGGGCCGTCTGTAGCATCATGACAGTGTTTTCTCCCTCGAAGGTGCAGGTTGGGGTAAAATTGACATAAATATTTGGAAGTCCACTGCAGTGAGAATAGCCATGCCCGCCACAAGCCATCCGACATGCTTCAATACCAGTGTTAGTCGTCCAGGACGTGAAAGCCTTCAGCCCGGCAGTGAGGGCGTGAAGCTGAAGAGGGAAGCACAGGCCATCAGAACATCTGTGGTGCTGACAGCCCGCATTCCAATGAGACACACTTAGCCTCACTTAACAGGACTTGTCACTTTCAAAATCACTTGGCAGGGACGTCCCTGGCGGTCCAGTGGTTAGGACTCCACGCTTTCACTGCCAGGGGCCTGGGTTCCTGGTCAGGGAACTAAGATCCCACAAGCCACGTGGCGTAGCCAAAAAAAAACCAAACAAACAAACAGCAAACAAAATCACTTTCTATGCCATGTAAACTGAAAAGCAAGCTCATCTGATTGGCCTGAGCCAGCAACATTCCCCCACTCCCTTCTGAACTGTTCTACTTGGCAAAAGTGGCGCCACTTAAGTTCCTTTGATTAATAAATGACCAACATGGTACAGTAATTCTGAAACTTAAAAACAAACCCACGCATCTTCACCTTTGATCCACTCTCAATTAGCAAACTCTCTCTGTATTTTGAGAATATATGGATTCTTTTCAAGATATCCCAATGTTTAATTTTCTCTGGACATGATCCAATGGGCAAATGTGACCTAGAAGGGTGCCCACAAGGGAGCAAGACATGACGCAGACCTCAGGCAGCTCACTCAGGTCCCCTTGGCTGATGTCTTCATTAATCCGATGATAGGTCTCTTTCATGTATGCGCCTACAAACTGGAAGGCATAGGCAGTGGCCAGGAGGGGAAAGAGTTTATACTGCTGGGTTTGATAATCCAAAATCTGTGGTTCTGGTTCACTAAAGCATATAAAAAGAGGGGAGAAAAAATTAAATGCCTACACAGAGCTTACTATGTGCCAGGTTCTGGTCTAAGCACTTTGAAAGCCTAATTTATCGAATCCTTATAAAGATCCTGTGAGGTTAACTTTTATTACCCCCATTTTACAGATGGAGAAAATGAGAGGTTAAGAACCTAGAGAGCTAATAAGTGGCAGATCCTTGATTTAAATCTAGGGTATCTGGCTATAGAAGACCACGTGCTTAACCACCTTGATGAGCTGCCTTAGTTGGACAGGATTTTCTAGCTGACTTTCATATTTTTCTTAGTCTTTCCAATCTAAGAAAATTGTATCTCATGGCAACTTCCGGAACCAAAGTTCATTAACTTCACAGGAGGAAGACAACATTAAAGGGGTCTAGATGGCTGAATAAACTATATTCTGACCACAATTTGAGGAGACCCAATGCACTGAGTTAAATATTTGAAGTCTAAGCAGGTCTGCTCTTATCAATTTCTTTATTCCTTCTTTAAGAGTAAAAAGTTTATCAAAGAGTCATGCCCAAGTAATAGGCAGTTGTAAGAATAAACCATGTCCACGAACACAACAGAGAATCAAGTTTAATGTCACTTTCACTATATCCGATTTGTAACTGTTAGTAGCAACTAGAATCTTCACACCACCTTCAGTGTTTTCAACATTTCATTTATAAAGCTCAAATAATATTACTGTTTTTCTTAGAAGGTTAAAAGTAATAATTAGGTGGTTATTCTCAACTTTCCACTTAAGGGAAGTCTAGGTTCTCAGACTCAGTACGCTGCCATCCTAGCTAATTTTACAGCAAATGCACTTTCTCCACAACACATTTGGGAATTTTGATATTTGGATGGGGTCCAAGCCAGGTCTTCAGTACCAAGCTCATCTCCGACTCCACCCTTACCCTGGCTTGATTTCAGACTGATGCCTCACAGCACTGTAGCGGATGGCAATGGTGCATGCCTTAGACAGACACCGGGCGGATTCTCCCACAAGGAAGGACCTGATAAACACCATGGTCCCGTAGGTCAGCTTGTTACTCAGGGGTTTCACGTATGTGCCATCAGGTTTCACCTGGAAAAAGAATATGAGATGGATGCTTCCCTCTGTTAAAACCAAGTGGCAGTTTAGGCAAGTCGTTCTCAAAGTGTGGTCCCCAGAAAGGCAGCATCAGCATCACCTGATGCTCAGTCCCCACCCTGACCTCCTAAATCAGAAACTCTGGGGGCTAAGCACTCTAGGTTTTAGCCAGCCCTCCAGGTGATTCTAATGCATGCTAAAGTTTGAGCCCCACTGGTTTTGCAAAACAAAACATGCTCTTCATACCTGCCAACTGCTTTTGATTTCATGGTCATAATAAAAGCAGCTTCAGAAGTAAAAATCTGTTAGTACCTTCTAAAAGAACAGATCCTTCTAACCCCGTGATTATCAACAGCCACTGAAATCCCCGTCTGATACCTCTCCTCCTATTTTCTGTCTAAATATACCTGAGCGTGCTTCATCAGCATGTTTTCCCTGGGAATGCGATAATTGTCCATCTTCAGGTAGCCGTTATCCATCTCATCATAGCCAAATTTGGGGCCAATGTCTCCAACAGTAATACCTACCGCAGATGAAAGTCACAAGGTGTTTATGCTCTGGAATTCCTGGCTTCCCTCCTCTTCTTTAGTTATGTATTATACTTTTTGCAGAAGAAAGTGATTGGTTTAATTTTCACCTCAACATCAGATGAACAGTTCTAACCTGGTAAAGGCTTATGCGTCCCAAGTTCACGAATAGGTACAATGAAGGCATGTAATCCATAGCATTTCCCCTGAGTGATGAGTTGGGCGAGTACTATTGCATGATTTGAAGTCTTTCCAACTGCAACATCAAAGAGAACAAGAGAGGGAAGTGAGCAAACATTTTTACATTTTCATAGAAACAAAAGAGGGGGAAAAAAAGCATATGTTAAATATAACACTAGATTCCATCAATAAAGTGTGCCCAGAGAGCTTTTCTTATGACAGTGTCATGCCTAGTTTTCAGAAGGAAATCCAGTTAAGCTGATAGTTATTAAAATTCATTGAATTTTGGCAAAGCGATCCTTCATTTTTTAAATATATATAAACACATTTTTAATTGAGATGTAATTGACATATAACGTCTAAGTTAAAGTGTACAGTATGTTAATTTGATAGCATTTTTAAAAAGTAGGCTTTTCTACTTATTTTTCATTCATTTACATAAATAAATTTTTAGGATAATTCTAGAACATTACTTTAAATTACATCCTTTTTCTCCCTTAAGGCAGGGCTTTCGAAAACAGTAGCCACTAGCCACACGTGGCTGTTTACATTTAAATTAATTATAATTAAATAAAAGATTCAGTCCCTCAGGTCAGCTAGCTACATTTCAAGTGCTCAAAAGCTGAAAGTGGCTAGTAGCTACCACACTGAACAGCAAAGACAGAGAATATTCCATCACTGCAGAAAGTACTATGGGATACAGCTGCTTTAAGAGATTTTTGGTTAGTGCATCCAGAAATATTTCTTTTTTTGCATGCTAGTTTTTTCCTATCAAAACGTAACATCCCATATCAAAATATATAACGTGAATAACAAAATCCTTCAACCACTAATCTCATCTGAAATATATATCCTAAAACAATAACTCAGAATGGAAGACGATATTAAATAAATTTCATGTCAAAGCTATTTATAATAAAAATTTGAAAACAACTCAAATGCTTTCCAGTATGGAAATGACTAACCAAACAGGGAAAACTAAATTACTTTAAATGATGACTATGGAAACTATGCTAACACACGAGAATATTTAAATGAAAAACCACGAAAAGCAGAGTAAGATAGCTGCCCTTTCTGCGCTTTGTAAAACATATAAATATCTGTAACATGCAACACAAGAGAATGTGAAATATCTTAGAATGGTTTAAGCTCTAAGAAGCTTTTTCTATATTTCAAAATTATATTCTCATATAAGCTCTACATTCTAAACACGTTATAATAAATCTTAAAACATCCAATAACTGTTAAAAAATTCACTTACGCCCACCAGGCCACCACTTGATGGAGGTCACAGTAGGACTGTTAAGAATGAACTCCTGGGTTTCGGGGTCATAAGTGGCTGTGGTTTCCAAGCCTCGAAGATGAGTTCCTAAGAAAATGAATTACACCTACTTCAGATAGAATACAGGAAAAAACAGGTACAGGGTAAAATCTCCTGCCCAGTCCTTTAAAGCTCTAGCATCTCAGAGAGTAACAAAATCTAACAACAATAAAACATCTGCAGATGAACTACAAATGGTTGATAACCAAGATACGTAATTTCCTAAGCTTAATTAATTAATATGTCATTTCCTGATCTGTTCCTGTTAAGCTGAAAATACGAATGTCAAGCACGTTCCATTTCTGTACTTGGTTTAGTGCACTTCTGTGGCAGTGGACACGGAACATGTATTTAGATCACCCAAAAGAAAATGTAAAATAAAGGCACATTAGAATCATAGTTTCGTAAGGTCACAGGATACGAATTTAACAGGGAAGTTAACTGACCTTTTAAAGGCATATCTAAGCTGTTAGTGTGCCAATTTCAACTCATTGGTATTGCGTCTACCACACCAATGCAGTGTTCTGGAATTCTGTATTATAACAAAGAATGAGAACACGTGACAGGAAGAGACTCGGCTAAAGTTCTTGTAAACTGAGAATTTATTTCAGAATGAATGCTAGAAAGGAAAACAAGAACTTAAAAAGTTATAACCAGGACTTCACTGGCGGTCCAGTGGTTAAGACTCTGCGCTTCCAATGCAGGGGGCGCGGGTTCGATCCCTGGTTGGGGAACTGAGATCCCACATGCCTTGCAGTGCGGCAAAAAAAAAAAAAAAAAAAAAAAAAAGTTATAATCATTATGCAGAAAAGACCTGGAACAGTCACTTTTTTTAATTTCTAAAAGTCCAATAATAAGGTCCAAGTTCACCCTGCAGACTCAACACTAAGCCTTAACTTATTCCTGGCTGGTTCACTAGTGTGACTAAGAAGAGTTTCCATTTTATGTATAATGGAGACAGACAGGGATTCGTGTTTTAAATCCTAATACAAACGTGCCAAAATTATTTGAAAAAAGTTACAGAAAAATGTTCTAAGTGACACCCTCCTTAGTAATACTATCCTGTAGCCAATGCTGAGAACCTTTTACCAAACTGCTTTGATAATGCCAGATCTCATTAAACACTTAAACTGTGAAACACTTAGAAACTCCCGAGTTAAATAACAGAAATGGACAGTTTATGTGTGATCCACAACCTTTCCCTGTGTGGGAATCAAGGAATCAGACACTAAGACTCCTTTCACCAAAGAAGAAACTTTTATAGAAAACGAGGTAGCATATTAAACAGAACAGGTAATGACAAAACGTTTTCAAATGCACAACTGAACCAAACAGTATTCCACTTCGAGTTTTAGGAAAATCCTCTAAAATACTATTTACCACGGAAGCTGAAAGCCAAATTAGCAATCAAATGAAGATGAAGTTGTACAGGAATAAGGAGCAAGTGGAAAATATACACTAGACCAGCTGTTCTGAAATGTCTGAGTAGGAAAAGAGAAGCCAGAAGTAAACAAATGGTAAACACAGATACCAATGTGGAACGGATGCTACCAGGCACAGCCACCACCTCCAGCCCCATCCAGTTCATCCAGGAAAAGACAGGTGAGGGATGGAAAGAAAAAGAAAGGTGGTACAGGGACTTCCCTGGTGGTGCACTGGTTAAGAATCCGCCTGCCAATGCAGGGGACACAGATTCCATCCCTGGTCCGAGAAGATCTCACATGCCGCGGAGCAACTAAGTCTGTGCACCACAACTACTGAGCCTGCGCTCTAGAGCCTGCGAGCCACAAATACTGAGCCCACGTGCCACAACTATTGAGCCCACGTGCCACAACTATTGAAGCCCGCACACCTAGAGCCCGTGCTCCACAATAAGAGAAGCCACGCAATGAGAAGCCCATGCACCACAATGAAGGGTAGCCCAACTCTCCGCAGCTAGAGAAAGCCCATGCACAGCAACGAAGACCCAACGCAGCCAAAAATAAATAAATATATATATATATATTTTAAAAAGCAGAAAGGCAGTACATACAGAGTATGAAATCAACTGCCCGGAAGTACAACTTATCTTATTTTTTCTAAACTGTGGCCAAAGCCACTTTCAGAACTTTACTGAATTTACTGAATCAAGGCACAAATAAAGTCAAGGTACAAAATGCTGCATGTTTTGGTTATATAAGCCACTCATTTCCCTTCAGCAAGTCAAAGAGCACACATTCTATTAATCTGTATTTCTTCTGCAATCTGTGCAAGTTCATTAAGGTATCAGTAGCAAAGATAACCAGAGAGTAATGAAGAAAAAGAGATGGGTTCAGGCTCTATATACACACAAATTCCGTACAACTTCAGTAAACTTGAAAAATCACTTATTAAGGAAGGCCTGACTTGTAATCCTTGACCTTCTGAAGGGGAACCATGAATAATCAATCAGCATGTCTGTGATAATATAAGCTTTTATTTCCACCGACCAAAGCATTGTCTATGCCGAGACTTGTATGTGTGAAAACCCTGGCCGCTGCAGAAAGACTGCATTTAAACAGATCTTACACAGCACGTGGATATGCCACTGCTGACACGTGGTGGACACTCCATGCATGCTAAGCTCAAAGAGCCCCGCCCAACCCAGAAGGTAGACTGAATGCACCGTACCATGACCCATCTCTGTCTGGGCATAAGTGCCAATGATCTCCAAGTTCCAGGTGGGCACGAAGAAGCGTTCCTGCTGTTCCTCGGTTGCCTGGTGAAGCAAGGTGGGCAGGAACATGCCCAAGTGAAGATCCAGAGGCCCAGACTGCCCTCGGTGCACAAGGCTTCAAAGAAATACCAAGGATGGGCATTTGAGAGAAGAGTCATCAGGTGTGAGAGAATCAGCAATTTGAACAAACAGAGCAAAGGAAGGAGAAAAAAAACCCTTCTGTTAAGTATGAATTAATGGGTGGACTTTATCATGGATGGAAGCACTGCCCTGTCTGTATTACTTTATAACTCTTAGCAATTTCCATTTTTCTTATGTTGGCGAGAAGTATTTTCTAAGGCTACTCATCTCTAAAATTAATTAATCTTGGTAGGGATTGGCTACCGATGCCAAAGCCTGTGCAGCACAAGACCATGTGCGCAAGGCAGAGGATTCGAGCCTTGCAATTAAAGTAAATAAAAAACCTGAAAATGCTGGATGGAATGGAGAATTTAAGTTGTACAGTGACTTATTTATTCTAATGAAAAGTTGAGACAGGAGAACATAGTGGTTCTTTTGGACAAAAGTTTCTCCAGGATCTAATTCCAATAATGCTTCTAGGCTAGAATCTTTTCTGTTTGTCCATAAAGCATCCAGCATTAATCCACATTCCTCACATAATTCTGGTCATTTCATTTGGATCCATCACAAATATCCAGCCACGTGCTACTGAAACAATGTAATACAAAAATTGACAGTGCTCTTCATCCCAATAATTAATTTCAGAAATAAAAAGACATGTGATTTTTAGTGAAGACCGTAACATTTACAAATAACAGATTCATGCATAACAAGCTCTCCATTACAATTATATGGGAATTATCACAAATGATAATAAACATGTTAGTTGTCATTTTAAATCCACTTTCTAAAGTCATTCTTTTCCATTTAAAATTTGCAGGTGCCTTAGACTTTTATGTGAATTTATTTCTAATAGGAAATAGTTCTATATGGCTTTGTATTGTTGCATGCTACTGGCATTTTATTTAACTTCCAGCTCAAAATTAATCAATTCTATGTTACTCTTCCTGTGCTCATTATCTTAGAAATGAGCCTAAACATTTCAGTTTCAAAATTTCTCCAATTGTTCCACTTGAGGAGGAGAATAATCAGGACAGGGTGCTCTAGGCAGGGGCTGACATGTGATGTTTTCCAAAGAGGGCGGGGGGTGGGCTGAGCTTTCAGCTAACCAATTACATAAAGATTGAAGAATGCATGAATAACTTCCTCATTTTACAGAGAAATTAAAGCTGAGGCGAATTATGTGTCTTCAGGTCAAAAAGATAATGGCAAAACAAGGACAAGAATCTCATCTCCTAATCACGTCTTCTAGTGCAACCTGGGCTGAGGACAACAGTGGGGACACTAGAAAGACTTGCCAAAATCACATCTAGACTCGGAAGCATCAAAGTGGAAATCCTGTAAGATGTCACCACTGGTGCAAACTGGGTGAAAGGTTCACGGGACGTCTCCGTGCTATTTTTGCAACTTCCTACGAATCTGTAATCATTTCAAAATAAAAAGTTAAAAAAAAGAAAAAAAGTGGAAATCCCTGGAAAAACACATTCCAGGGATGAGAGAGTACTTTTCACGCACAGACAGGAATGTCAACTGTGCTGTTTTTAAAAGAATGATGTGTAGGAAGAAAAATTAATGTGCGCCTAGGAGCTAAAAGAAGAAAACTCTGAAGCAGGACTGAAAGCTGTGGCCTGGGGCCAGCCACTCGCGGTGCTGAGAGGCTACTTTCCATGACTAGAAACCAGAGCGATTCCTGGTGAAGGAGAGGCCATTCAGAGGCGCCCAGACTCGTCATGGGTGGGCGTGTATTCGGGAATAATGAGGGGCACCAAGGGTTACCACAGAGTACACTCAGGAGGGCAGGGGTAAAACTACTTATAATCAGAAACTGTCTTGAAGCAAAAAAATGTTTTCAGGAGAAAAATGTCTCTTGTGACTAGGATAAGGATTATTCAGAAGTGGATGAAATGCAGAAATGTTACAAGGAGAAAGTGACCTGGATAGTTTTTGATTTAAATCAAGTATTTGCTATACCATTTATGCATGATAAAGATCATATATTATTTTTAATTAATTTATTTTAAAATTGCAAAGCACCAACATTTTGCTTGGTAAAGAGCTGGAGTCGATTCTTTCAAAACCGTAACACCAGAAGGCCTTCCCAGGCTCTCCTACATGATACAGGGCTGGGAAGGCTAGCAGTCAATACTGAGGACAAAATTATTAGATTAATAATATATGAGAAAGGAAGAAATCAAAATAGCATCTCCACGGACAATATGATTATAATCCTAGGAAATCAACAAAAACAAAACACCATCAATAATAAATGAATTTAGAAAAACCAGGATTAAAAAAAAAAAAATCACTCATTCTTATCCATTAGAACCATTCAAATAGAAAACCCTGGTAAAGAGAAAGGTGATTTATAACAGCAACAAAATATTTAAAAAATCTGTTAAGTAATTTAGCTCAGAATATTACAGATTTAATTAAGAGAAAATATAAATGCCTAACAGGATGAATAAAAGATATGAAAATGGACAATAGGAAAGAAATTGCTAATTCTTGGCTGAGAGGACTAAATAAAATTAATACTTCCCAAGAAAATACAGGGATTTAAGGCAACGGGTTTTAAATTCCTACAGGATATGTTTTCGAACTTGGCAAATTGAAATCAGAATTCATCTAGGAGAATAAGTATGCAAGGACACCAAATACATATAAATTGAAATATAGCAATAGTAGGCTTATTCTATCAGATTTTTAAATATCTTAAAAAGCAACAATGAGCCAAGCTTATGATGCTAGGAGAAAAATAAAGAAAAAAATTAATGTAATATATTTAAGGTTCCATAAATAAACTGAAACTATTACAAAACTCTAAGATGAACCAGAAAGAACATAACGAGGGGAAAGAGCTACTAGTTAATAAACACAAAAATAGTATGGGGTTCACTCATCTCTGTATCATACACAAGTCAAAGCATTAAACACAAATCAAACAAACAAAAAAGGGAATAAAATAGAAGATAATTATCCAAGATACGGGAAAAAGAAAACTTATACCTATTTAGAGAAGGATGCACTGAATACATAAGGCCAAAATGCTTAATCAAACAGAGGCAACAGAAAGAAATATTGGAAGGATACAATAAAATCTTGTAAGATCAATATGCAGATTCTATGTATTCAATACTCAAAGGAGAAAAACCCAGTTTACAGTAAGCTAAACATGTAACATCAAGGCTCACTAGCACTAGAAGAATTAAAACTTTAACTCTTAGATATATATAAAAGTAGCAAAAAAACAAAGTAATCACGTTGATAGGACTATGGAGACACGAGTACACTAAGTACATCAAAACTTGTTCCATGTCTTGAGCAACAGAAGCTATGAAGTGTTCATTCCCTTCAGATGTAGTAATTCATTTCTGAGAAAGATATTCCAAAGGCATAACCCAAAGAACACAGTTTCTGTAAAGAGACTGATATTGTTATTACTGACAGTGGGGAAATTAGAATACCCAAGGAGCAAGTCTCATGGGAAGTCCAAAAGGTAAGAGAATCCCTCCTGGAAAAAGAAGACAGGAGACTCTCGGAGAGACAGAGCAGTGAGATACAGGGAGAGAAAGATTAGTGACTTACAAAATCGAGTTTACTATTTATTTTTCAAGTTTCAAAGGAAGAGTATTTTCACATTTGAGTATTAGTGATCGGAATTTGCAAAGAATCTGCACCACCATCTTCAAGGATGGTAAGTATGTACTACATAAGCTCTATTTTCCTTAATAATTAAAATAACAATAACAATAATAGAAAAGGCAAGAAGAATTCCTATTAAGTGGCCAGAACATGAAATGATCAAATACCTGTGAAGACCAAACACACTACTTGTTTTGTGACCTGGAGAAACGTATGGTCAGGATAATACCCCTGGACCACGTCCCAGACTGTCCCTTTAACACCAGAACCCCAGGAAGAGGGTGCCCTCCTTGGCCCAGGCCTCTGCCTTTGATTAAGGCTCGCGCACTCACAGACCAAATGTGTGTTGGGGCTTGTGTGCCTATACAGACAGGTGTGTATTTAGAGGAGGGAAGACACAATTCTTGAGGGAAGAGAGAAAACTGGTGACCTAGACTTTCTGCAAGTGGTTGAATTTTAAGATTCTTGAGGATTCTGGAATAAGCCTGAGAAATTTTGAGTCTCTCACTTCTCAGCGGCTACCCAAAGGTGAAAGAATCCCAAACTCGAAGTTATAGCCAATTCTGTGAGAACACTTAGATAATCACTGTTGACCAATGTTCCAAAGTCTCAGAATTTAAATGGTCAAATCTTCATCCTGTACAAGTTGCTCTATTTCCAATCCCGTTGGTGTTGAAGTACTTTTTATATATTCTACATAAGACCGTACTGTCACAGGATGCAAATTAGCCAACAAACTGACTGGCTTCTCTGGAAAAGAACAGCAGTCAGTGAAGCACAACTAATATGAACTGACAAAGTTCCAGCAAGAAACAAGACCTAATCTTAAAACTCTGTTCTCTAAATAAACCATAAAGATTGAGACAGAGTTGGTTCGAATACAAAAAAGCATTCGAAAACTAGAAGGAATAAGGGAAAGAAAACTCTAACAAATACAAACTCGCCCAGAGCAACAAAGGACCTCAGTCCAACGTTCTGGGCTCCTCAAACCAGTGAAGTTCAAGTCTTCATTTCCTCCTCTCTTCCTTCAAATATACATTTGAAATGTACCTTATAGATAGAGGCAGAAGGATTAGACCAACAAGAGATACACAGATCAGACTCACTTAGCCTCACAACAGTTTACTTCTTATGCCCCCTATTTCAAAGCTATCTCAAGATAACAAAACACGAGGGCACACTCCAAGAGAGGAACATTGTAGGAATGTGATATTCCTTCCGTTAGGACACCTTCCTTCAGGTCTGTCATCTCAGTGTTGACCATCCTGAAGATGGCCATGGTGTTTGGCAGGGTGTTCATAAAACTGTACCATGACCAGAATCTGCAGTTCCCACAGGCATTATGGGAAAGAACATTTCCTTAAACCAATTTGCAAACCAAAAAGCACCAAATCAAACACAAAAATGAAGTCTTCCTGATATCTGCATCCTTTTCTCATTCTTTTTCTTTACTTTCCTTTATTTACATAAGGGAAGCATTATGAACCGGGCAGCTCAAATTCCAAGACACTCAAACCTGTCAGTGGCCTCATCTATGAAAACAAACCTGTTTCACAAGACTAAACACAAAACTTTTTGAAAGTAGCCAGGTTTTTAGGAACAATTTAACCAAGAATTACTGGTAATATAAAGTCCATGGACATGAACAGAAAAATGAATAAAAAGCAATGAAGAGCATCGTGGACTTTTTCCCAAACCATCTCACAACCTTCACCACTCTAACCCTCTGCCCCTTTAAAATCCACATCTTTAACTTCATTAAAGCAGAGCATCTTCCAGATGTTGCTGAGGCATGAACCCTCTTAAGAATTTGCAACTAAGTCTTTAATCAGACACCAATACAATGGGGCGCTTTGCCGTATTTTCAACCCCATCTTTCCAAACTGCTCAACACCCATTTTAACGGATGTATGCAGCAATGGTAACGAGCCTTAAAAAATAACAATGACAGATGCTTCAGGCCAGAGTCTTGGACCAGTTTAAGGGGAAAGAAACTATCAGAAAATAAGAGGCTGAATTTTATTTAAGATTTAACAATTTAAAAATAAAATCCCAAATGTGTAGCAGCAGAAAAAAGTCAAATGCCAGGAGTCATTTTTGTTTGTTCGTTTTGCCAGGAGTCATTTGTTAACTGAAGTCCTGAGGTGGGTTACCCGCTGAGCCTCAAACGTGGACTAACCGTGGCCCATTTCCGTCTGGGCGTAGGTGCCAATTATCTCGAGTCCTTTGGATGAAAGCAGCCATTTCTCTTGCTGAGCAGTGGTGCCCTGATTCAGCAAGGTAGGAATAAACATGGAGTAATTGAGGCCCACAGGTTCCACAAAATTGACCAAATGTAGTCTACGGGAGAGAAAAGAAAAGGATCTCAGCCTTACTCTGGAAACTGCATTCTACTACCAATCCTGCCAGATGGCTGTGGCCCTGAGGATGAAGGTTAGAAAAATTTAAACCTCTTTCTTAGGAAATTAAGACTAATATTTATCATTTACTACCTAAAAAGCCAACAGCAGAATCTAGTGGAATCTCTTCTCCCCCTAGTCATTTCAGGGCCAGAATTCTGAATTTCATACTTAATCCAGGAAGCAAATTCTACCATGTTTTAGCCTCAACCCCCTTTTGTTTATCATACTGTTGGTGTTATTTGTTGGTTTGAGTTTTTGGAGGGTCTGCCTATTTGTTTTTGGATTATTTTCAGGTTTTACTTGTTTTGAAAATCAAAAGACACTCCACAGAACACTTATTTGTTGACCTGTTAACAAAATGTCCCAAAGAAGAATAATTTATACTATCTTTCCCTAGTAACTGAAGCAAATGTCCAGGATGGTACATATACGTTCTGGGGCCAAAGCACACATCTCTACAGGTCTTCAGAGCTTAGAAACGGCTAAGTAGGTAATGTGAGTGTTAAAAATTTATCACAACCGGTCTTTGAAAATTATTCCAGATTAAGGGAACTCTAATCATAATGAAATTCAGTCTTCAACGATTTTCTCACAAAAGAGAATCTGTGAGATGATCAAAATACGAGTTACGTACACTAGTCAGCCTCGGCTACATTGTGCTGTAGCTTTTTTAGGGGTCTATTCTGTCAGATCTATCTATATAGAGAGCTTCAGGGGCTTCCCAGGTGGCGCAGTGGTTAAGAATCCACCTGCCAATGCAGGGGACATGGGTTCAAGCCCTGGTCCGGGAAGATCCCACATGCAGCGAAGCCACTAAGCCCGTGCGCCACAACTACTGAGCCTGCACTCTAGAGCCCGTGAGCCACAACTACTGAGCCCGTGTGCTACAACTACTGAAGCCCACGCGCCTAGAGCCCGTGCTCCACAACAAGAGGAGCCACCGCAGTGAGAAGCCCGCGCACCGCAAGGAAGAGTAGCCCTCGCTCGCCGCAACAGAAAGCCCGCACGCAGCAACAAAGACCCAACACGGCCAAAAATAAAAATAAATAAATTTATTTAAAAAAAGAAAAAAAAAGAGCTTAGGGTACAAAGTAAGTACCACCTAACTGACCCTCATGACTTTTCAAGGGATGGATTGGAAGCAGTGTCACCGCCAGCCTATCCTGGCTTGTACAACAAGCAGAGCATGAATTAAGGGAAAGGGGCGGGTAGGCTGCCAATTCACATCTGGGGAGGCCCTGAAACCATCCCACCACCTTTCAGGGGTGCTGGGGACAGATTCAAACATCCAAGGAATGCCTGGACTAGTCAACATCAGAAATGCTTTTTAACCCTAAGGTTCTATGATTTTCACACAAATATCAAATATTAATTTAAACTGAGGGTTTCCCTGGTGGCACAGTAGTTAAGAATACACCTCCCAATGCAGGGGACACGGGTTGGAGCCCTGATTCGGGAAGATCCCACATGCCGTGGAGCAACTAAGCCTGTGTGCCACAACTACTGAGCCTGTGCTCTAGAGCCCGTGAGCCACAACTACTGAGCCCACGTGCCACAACTACTGAAGCCTGCACGCCCTAGAGCCCGTGCTCTGCAACAAGAGAAGCTACCGCAATGAGAAGCCCGTGCACCGCAACAAAGAGTAGCCCCCCGCTCGCTGCAACTAGAGAAATCCTACGCACAGCAGCAAAGACCCAACGCAGCCAAAAATAAAATAATTAAATAAATTTAAAAAAAATACCTTAAAAAAAAAAACAACCTTAAACTGAAAGGAGAGAAAGAGGGGAAAGGAGGTATAGGAATACCAATCCGCAGCAACTTCCTGCTGCTGTACTACAAAGAGAAGTAAGGCTCTTTGCAAAACATATTCATCACTAAAGTGGAGACAAGTAACGAGGAGATAAATGTATAAACTGGCCTCTCAACGGCAAGGGCACCACAGCACTCCCTCACAACCATGCTTTACTAAAGGAGCAAATGAACCTGCGAGAATTTCTGAGAAATAAAACCAGTAATTTAGGTGCTAAAAATGGTGGCAATATAAGACACTCCCAATCCCTTGACGGAATTGAGGAGGCTCTGGGTTGGTAAAATGATGACACTGACACGAAATAATTAACTCTAGGAAACTGAGAGGGAAAAATACATGACACAAAATAAAGACTGTCAAATACTTATGTTTTCATAAACATACTGAGATTTTTTTTTTGAAGCCACTTGAAAGTTAACTCGGGCTTCCCTGGTGGCGCAGTGGTTGGGAGTCCACCTGCCGATGCAGGGGACACGGGTTCGTGCCCCGGTCCGGGAAGATCCCACATGCCGTGGAGCGGCTGGGCCCGTGAGCCATGGCCGCTGACCCTGCGCTCCACAGCGGGAGAGGCCACAACAGTGAGAGGCCCGTGTACCGCAAAAAAAAAAAAAAAAAAAAAAAGAAAGTTAACTCAAGAACAAAATCTGAGTGCTTGTTTTTAAGTTATGTTTAATCCTTCCTGAAGATGCTTTTCAAGCAACTAGCTTTAAAAACCTAATAAGGATAACAGAAACCATGAATGATTCTCATCAGAATTTTAAAGTACTTTTAAGAATATTTTACAGTTTTTGCATAGCAAATAGTATAGTTAAAAGACAAACTTACAGGAAAGGGGATTAGGAAAGTAACTCCTATTCCCCAAACAGCAAAGTCTTATTTTCTCAAGGAATGGAGAGATGAATTCTTTCATTGCTCAAGTTGAGAAATCTCAAAGTACTTTACTAATACTTTAGTCAATTTCAACATACTCTCATGAGTTTTATTTTGTGATAGAGAAATTGGATGTAAAAGAGACCAGTAAATGCCCCAAATCCCCAGAGAAATATTACTATATTTCATTAATTATAGCATCCTTCTCCTCACAGCCAATTTTAGCATTTAAGAAATCTGATGCATCTCACAATTAATGGTACATCATAGTTAACTTTGTTAGTGATACATAAGACATGGGTGTGAGTGACAATCGATGGCGTTCAGTAATTGCCAAGACTAATTTTCAATCCCCTTCTCTAACATACATGGATCTCCCTGTCACATCCCAGAAATACTGGAAAGATGTCAAAGGGTATGCCAAAGTTTGTACTTTGTATTTCGCCAATAGTGAGGTCTATGTCATACAAAATGATACGCAAAACAGTTGGCTGGTGTCCACTGATCTTTAACTCACATAAAGGACTTTATTTCATTGTGACTTCACCGGAATCTGGTTACACGTTGTGCACCACCACAGATCATGAAATCTTCTAACCAACTCTGAAACACACGGCATCAGCCATTTTAAAGTAAAACAAAACAAACCTCCTCTTTTGTGTTGTTTTAAGGAAGAATAAAATCTTACTAATTTTTTAAAGTTCACAGACCGAACTCAGGAAAATTAGAAACATAATCTTCTAGGAGTTACTCCACCTCAATATCCTCACAGCCATGAGTTACAAACTTTAAAAATAAAAAAAAAGCATTTGGAAGTTAATAAGTACTCTGACGGACTACCAAATTAACTATTTTTGTAACTAAAATGGAAAGGAGTTCTGAGTGTGGTCCTAAGGGCTGGAGTAAATCATTTCCTCTTGACAATAATAACCAGGTCAAATAGAAAATAATTATATACCATATGTATTTGCAGCAGTAGTATGGGGAGGAATGCCTACTGCTACATAAAGGCAGAACTTGTAACATATTTCATTTTTCTTGGCTCTTAAATATGTACCATTCACACCATTTATTCTTTATTGATGAAAATATTGGAGTTCTTCTAAAATGTAGAGGCCTAAAACAGGAAATGCCCAGGAATAAGCGAGAAGTGTAAGAGATGCTGAAAGTCAAAGAAATCTTGTACTAAGATCATATAATTATACTGTTTATTTACATAAAGGTAAAAAAAAAAGTGTGTTTTATTTCTAAAAACACAACAAAAAGCAGATGGTCTGAAAAAAGAACATCCTCTTTCAGCAGTAGGACCAAGGCATGTTTTTATGAGATCTTGTATGACAGGGGAGCCATTTAAATACCATCACCAGATTCAACAATGCTGGGTTCTTAGAATACTTTATACTCATTCTAAGGTATGACTAAAGTTCTTCTTCCTCCACCCACATCTTCCATTATTTTAAACTCAAGATCTACACGCATATGAAAATACGACCTGTTACTGCTCCAAAATATTTAATGTTTGGTCCTTGCAACTGAAAACATCCTTCCAAATGCAGCTTCTAAATTTAGCAGGCCTCCTTCTTACAAAAAGCAAAGTCATTCTGTATTTAAATCACTCAAAATTGAGACATCTGGACCGAATTTGTATGATTCTCGAGATAGAAAATTATAGCATTTCCATGATCAACTTTTTACAAATACCATCCCTTTCAAAGGCTTAAATACAAAAGTAAACATTATTTTCGACACAAATAACTTTAAAATGGCGTGAAAATATGCCAATTCGAGTCTTCAAACGTCAAGCACGATGAAAAAGGACACCGCAGATTGCGGATCTGAAGTTTGGGCTTAGGCACTCGATCTAAGCTAAGGCATACCTACTTTTTAAACCACATGATTTCAGCAGGGTCTGCGATGTTAAACTTCCTCATCTTCTCCACCATGGTAGCACTCTTCCTAACAGCCACCTCGTAACGCTGGCTACGACTGAGGAAATTCAAGTCCTCATGCTGGAAGTCTGGGTCTTTCAGAATCAGGTTCTCTGGTAGGGAGTTAAAAGGATATCAAGAGGAAGACAGAAATTCAGGGCTCCGTTAAAGCTCCCTGGGTCACAGCAGGTTTCAGACTCACGGGCACAGGTCCCCCTCTCGTTATAGGGGATTCCCCCCGCCACAGCCGCCCCTGGAAATGGGGGTCCAGGCTCCCCTAAAGCTGGGCCAGAGGCTGCGGCCTACGCCCTACAGCGTCCCCCGATTCCTCCCGGAGGGAGTCTCAAGCTTTGCTCGGGGAAGGAAGGAGGCCTGGCCCGCCGCCCTCACCGATCTCTCGACGGCGCCGGGTGTTCTCGGGGCTGCCGTCCAGGACGTGCGTGAGCAGCTCCGGGTTGAAGCTGGCGGCGGCCCGCTCCTTCTGCAGGTCCTGGTTCATGGTGACGGCCAGCAGAGGCAGCTGAGGCCGAGGCGGCGGCAGCAGCGACAGCGAGTGTCCGCACCTCCAGAGCGGGCCCAGCCCTAAGAGCCTCCCCAGGACACCGCGAGTCCCCGCCCCGTTCGCCTCGGCCCGCCCCGGCCCTCCCTTTCTCCTTCACCGCGGCCCCTCCGCGCGTGACAGAGCGCGGCCGAGGCGGAGGCGGCGCCGGGGCGGGCGGGTCCCCTGTTTTCGGCCAGGGGAGCCTTTGAGCGGCGCCCAGCTAGGAGACCCTGGAAGAAGATCAAGAAACTGCCCCGGGGGGAAAGCGAAGCGTTCTCCGCAACCCGCCCCTCCCTCGTCACGTGGCCACGCTGGGCGGAAAGAGGGAACCCAAGGCCAGGAGGCCCAGAAAGGTTCGCGAGTGGTTGGTGAGGGGCGGGACTACGAGGCTGAGGAGGACTGCGCCTGAGCCTCGGGACGCGGCCGCGCCGCCGCTTCCGGGTCCGCGCGCCGAGGCATCCCCGGGAATGAGATGGGGGAGGAAACTCAAGGCTTGGGGCGGGGAACCCTCGTGCTTGTCGGAGTTATCGGGGAGGTTGTAGCGTTTCCCAAAACCTTCCAAGATTGGAGAAAAAATGGACGGGAACAAGGGTCGCACCGGGTAGAGGCTCCAACTATCGTTTGTTAAGATAACGGCATCTTTGCTGCCAGAGGCGTGGGCCGCGGGGAGCTGAGTGTGGAATTGGACTTGAGTTGCAGTGTGCTTAGAGGTCTTTGAAAGGAGACTTTTTTGTTTTCACAATTATCGTCATCAAAGTAGTAAAAGCACACGTTGAAAAAAGCTAGTATAAGAGGATTTGTAATGAAAAGCAGAAGTTCCCCATCCTCAGAGGCAGCCACTTTAACCATAATAAATTGTTTCTAGTTTTGTTTCCTAAAGAACATCGAAGTAAAATTCTTCCAAGCTATTTCTTGATTTGCTCATTTTTGTTACCTTTTGACCTCATGCCATGGTAACGAAGATGTGGCACGCTACCCATCTCCTTTATCTCTCATTTACCTTTGTAACTTTAAACAACATACTAATCCCGTTTTAAAACTATACACTTTTAATAGTGTTAATAGTTTTAAAAAAACTTGTTTGTAAAACTGACGCATCAATTTTTTTTTTGCGTGGGCCTCTCACTGTTATGGCCTCTCCCGTTGCGGAGCACAGGCTCCGGACGCGCAGGCCCAGCGGCCATGGCTCACGGGCCCAGCCGCTCCGCGGCATGTGGGATCTTTCCGGACCGGGGCACGAACCCGCGTCCCCCGCATCGGCAGGCGGACTCTCAACCACTGCGCCACCCCTTCCCTTTTTGAATCCCAAGGAGCCTTCCTGCGCATGTGCAGACAGGGAAGTTTTCCTTGACCTCAGGAGTGGTCATCTTATTTCTTTACTTCAGCAGAGCTCAGCTTCTGCCACTAGCTTTCTTCTTGGAGTGTCTGGGTGAGAACAAAGATTCAGTTTTACTCCACTTGACAAACCCCAGCTGTCCGGCGCAGGGGCCCATCTATCTCCTTCCTCAACAGATCCAATCAGTATTCAGATTTCTCTGATTGCTTTGTAAAAAATTGTCTGCAGTTGGTTCGTTCAAATCAGGGTCCAAACAAGGTCTACACATTGCAGTTGGTTGATAAGAATCTTAAGCTTCTTTTAATGTATAGGTTTCCACTAGACATTGATTTTTTTCTCCGATTTATTTATTGAAAAAACTAGGTTGTTTTTCGTGTGACTTGCCCACAATTTCCCTCTCTGTGATATCTTTAACACGTTCCTCTATTTCTGTATTTTCTATAAGCTGTTGGTTAGATCTAGAGGCTTTATAAGATTCAGGCTTGAGGCTTTAGGAAAAAATACTCCTGTGGCATGTTTTCTATTTTAAAATATCACTCTGGGGACTTCCCTGGTGGCACAGTGGTTAAGAATCCACCTGCTAATGCAGGGGACATGGTTTGATCCCTGGTCCAGGAAGATCCCACATGCTTCGGAGCAACAAAGCCCGTGCGCCACAACTACTGAGCCTGTGCTCTAGAGCCTGTGAGCCACAACTACTGAGCCCGAGCGCCTAGAGCCCATGCTCCACACAAGAGAAGCCACCGTAATGAGAAGCCCACACACTGCAACAAAGAGTAGCCCCCGCTCGCCACAACTAGAGACAGCCTGTGTGCAGCAACAAAGACCCAACGCAGCCAAAACTAAATAAATAAAAAATAAATAAAAAATAAATTTATTTTAAAAATACAATAAAATATCAACCTGGTTGTTATGAAGAGAATGGACTGTAGAAGGAAAAAAGTGGAAACAGACCAGTTATAAAGGTGGTGAAGGCCTGGATGGAGTGGTGACCATGGAGATGGAGGAAAGTGGATAGATTCAATATGTATTTTGAGGTAGAACTGACAGAAATTTGTGATGGATTGGATGCAACCATGAGAGAGAGGGACACATCAAGAATGACTCCTGGAAAAAAAAAACAAAAACAAAGAATGACTCCTGGGCTTGAGCAGATCAGGGATGGAGAAGGGTGGCTTGGAGGTGGTATTAAAGCCATGGGACTTGGTTCTGGTTAAAACATCGTCCTCCTGTGTCTACTTCCTCTCCCTCCCAAGGACCCACCTAAATGGACGAAGGGAACAGGAGAACAGCAGTTATCAAATTAAGGAAACTTAACATTGATACAATACTATTACCTAATCTACAGACCTTTCTGTGAATTTACAATTGTCCAATAAAGTCCTTTATCACAAGTTTTTCTCCCAGCCAAGGTCCAATCCAGGATCATGAATTATATTTAGTTGTATTAATTTGCTGGAACTACCATAACAAAGTACCACAGACCAGGTGGCTTAAACAACAGAAATTTGTTGTCTCACAGTTCTGGAGGCCAGAAGTCCACAATCAAGGCATCGGCAGAGTTGCTTCCTTCTGAGGCTGTGAGTGAGATGTGCTCTGTGCCTCTCTCTCTTAGCTTCTGATAGTTTGCTGGCAATCTTTGGCCTTCCTTGGCTTGTATACATATCACCCCAATCTCTGCCTTCACCTTCACCTGGCCTCCTCCCTTTGTGCATGTCTGTCTCTGTCCAAACTTTCCCCTTTTTATAAGGGCACTAGTTATATTGGATTAGGCCCTCCGTAGTGACCTCATTTTAACTTGGTTACCTCTGTAAGACCCTCTTTCTAAATAAGGTCACATTCTGAGGTCCTTGGGGGTTAGGACTTCAACATCTCTTTTTGCGGGGACACAGTTCCACCCATAACAGTTGTCCTATCACTTTCGCCTCCTTTAACTGGAGCAATTTCTTTATCTTCTGTGATTTTGACACTTTTAGAGCATATAAACCAGTTGCTGTGTAGAATGTCTCAATTCAGATTTGTGTGATATTTCTTGGTGATTAGATTCAGATTATACTTTTTTTTTGTACAGGAATATCACAGAAACAATGTGTCCTTCTTAGTGCATCACATGCAGAAGGCACATGAAGGCTGTATTTGCTAATTTTCTTCACTGTGAAGTGGACCATTTTTTCCTTTGTAATTAATAAGTAATCGGTGGGGGAGATACTGTTGAGACCATGTAAATATGCCGGTTCTTCATCAAACTTTTACCCAGTACTTTTTGCATCCAGTGGTGATTCTTCCCTGAATTCATTTTTACTCTGGTGATTGCAAAACTTTTAAAGGCATAGTAAAATAATCATTTTATCTGGTTACCGTAAAATTCATTTAGTTGAGATTACACTTAAAATTGGAAATAATCCCCAGGTGATAGAATCTTTTGAGGCCATAGGTCAAATCATGTGGCATCACTCGAGTTTTAATGTTGGAGTTTCATTGTATAATATAGACTAACAAAGACTTGTAACTTTAAACACATTGATGAATGGCTTCTGGGTTGGTGAACACAGGGAGGGGCTGGGAAAGTGGCAAAGCTCAGAGAGGGCATGGAAGCTCCACACCCCTCCCCACCTACCGTGTTCTATGCACCTCTTCTCTCTGGCTGTTCCTGAATTATATCCTTTTATGATAAACCAGTAACCTATTCTAATTCTGGGATGGTAAATGTATACCATCAAGTTTCTTGTCCCCAAGAAACAAACCCAAAGCCGATAAAAGCTATGATGAACTTAGTTATAAGTGTTACTTCTCTGACCTTCAATCCCACTACAGCAATCTTGACAGTTTCTTCAGAAAAGATGAAAGCAGCAGTCAGATTGGTTCACCATCCTTCCTGTACAGTATTTTCAAACTTCCCAGTTGTTAAAAAGAAGCCTATTTCTCTTCTTCATACCAGGGACTTTTTTGTCCTAGAATATTTTGCCTTGGGGAATGAAAAGGGCAAGGCTTGAAGTACAGGTTGTACCATTACTCAGACTCCTAGAGAGAGTATTTGAAATCCAGTTGACCCACAAGAGAAGCCTGTCCTGATATGTCTTCTCAGAAACTTTCTTGAATGTGTGATAATGTATGGATAATGATTTATGGAGCCAGCTGTGCTTATTTAACAGAAGTGTCTTAACAAACACATAGCAGCTTTTGTCTGAAGAAGAAATTGAGGTTAAAATTTACAAAAGAGTATCTCCCCCAACCCT